TGCTGAGCACCCCTTTGCGGGAGACACGCTGAGCACCTCTGTGTGGGAGACACGCTGAGCACCTCTGTGTGGGAGACACGGCTGAGCACCCCTTTGCGGGAGACACGCGGAGCGCCCCTGTGTGGGGGACACGCTGAGCTCCCCTGTGTGGAAGACATGCCAAGCGCCCCTGTGTGGGAGACACGCTAAGTGCCTCTGTGTATGCTTTGCATTGAATTGTTTTTGTGTCTTGTGTCGAAGGGAAATTTCCAAATAGAGGTAAAACTGTGATCTTTATGCAGACATGAAATGTGTTGAAGACGCTATTAACTCACTATTAGCGTGGGAGCCCAGCAGATGCTGTACCAGCAGAAGGAGAATCCAGAGAACGGTATACGCAGCCTGGGAGTACTGAAGTGAATTTGTAAACGGACTCAACACTGCTGTTTCCAAGACGGGAAGGGAAGTAAACTGAGCTTCCGATTTGAAGAGTTTATCTCCTTGGTGTTGGGAGAATTACTTGCATTACTATAACTTATTTACAACTTACTGAGTTGGGACCAAAGCAATGAGATCTCAGATCCTCCATAGAACGAGGGTCAGGTAACCTACAGTGTGTGTGCTGAGTAATGCAGTTTTCTGTGGGAGGCACATACTAGTTTTTTAATTTTTTTTTTTTGCTTATTCCAAATATCCTTGCTTTTATAAAATTTATGTCATATACTGGAAAGCAAGTGACTTTTTAGACAATTGCTTTTTTATGTATCTATTGCACTGTCCCATGAAACAGATTCTTTTTCAAAAAGAATTATTTTATTTGACTTTATTTATTCATCTATTTTAATTTGACAAGAGAGAGAGAGAGAGAAAGCAGCCAGGTTAGGACTCAAACCACGGTGGCCATGTGGGAATCCAGTGCCCCAACTACCACGCCACCTGCCGGCCCCTGAAACAAATTCTTGATAAGTAATTAGTACCTGCAATTACTTCAGAAAGTCCTGGGTGAGAGAAAATGATTTTTGTCTTCCAGAACAATGAACGTAGGGATCAGGACTGAGTGAATGGATGGATAAGCCTTACACTGTGTTTTCACGTTGTCAAATGTCGAGACCGAAACACAGATCCTCTTCTTCGACCTGCGTGAGCATGTTAGCAATCGAAGGCCAAATGGAAACACACTCTGCGGAGAGAAAAATCCAAGAAACCAGCGCACAGGTGGCAGCATCTACCCCCTCCAGTGTATCACCTCATCCATCCAATCAATACCATGTGTGGGGTCCTGAAACCAGCAGGTGGCGTAATAGTTGTCACGGGGCTCCCACATAGGTGACTGCGGTTTGAGTCCTGGACCTGGAGACTTGAGACTCACACTGGGCGCATGTACATGTGTGCCCAAAATCCCGAGAGGAGAGTGGAGAAGGGATTGTGGTATGGTCATCCTCCCTTGTGGGGGCAGGGGGGCATTTCTTACTTTCTGTCTCTGTCTCTTTCTGTCTCTTTGGCAAGTGCATGCACCCTACAGCAAAACTCTTTCAAAAAGAAGTGTAGAGATTCAACTGTGTAAAAACAAATCTGCTAATTTTAAGGGAAAGCAATCCACTGGATATCAGATTTTCTGCACAATCATATAGCATATTTTGGAGGAAATGTGAGAGAACTAAAGATATAAAATAATGAAAGAAACACATTCTTTGAGGTTTCTTGTCTTAATCTATGAAATAAAATATCCTCCTTCTTCCCCTCCAAGAAAAATTTATCTGAATTCATATTGAATTATGCACCAATGCATGCCAGGTATTAGTCTTACCTATATTGAGATAAAGTTTGTGAAATTTCTTTAAAATATTCTTCTAAAAAGGAGATTTTGTTTACATAGCTCTGATGGCAGAGAGAAAAAAGTTATTTCCCAATAATGTGGGTCTTTTTAAACTCATAATCTCAATAGATTTAGAGAACACAAACGCAGAAGTTAAATTTCTATATCAACATGGATTATATGATAAAAAATTGGTATTCAATGAGTAAGTTACTCAATGGAGTAATTTAGTTTATTATTGAAGCTGTTTTCTAGACTGAGTATTTCAACTATATTTTCCCACAATTTGGGAGCAGAACCTACGCATTCTAGAATCCCTAGAGATTAGCAGCACAGGGCAGACCGTGGGAAAACAGGAAACCAAAACATCAGAGGCATGCATCAACCACACGCGAGGATCCACAAAAGCACTGGTATAAACAGCAAGTGTGGAGTTCAGCATGTAAAAGATGACAAAGGCGGCCACCAGCATGAGGATGGTATGAGAAGCACTGGCCTCTGGGGCGTACTTGTGGCAGTGGTTGAATTTGGTAGTGGTGTGAATATGCTGAAGTCTCTGGTGATGCCGCTGCAGGAGAAGCACCATGGAGCCACTCGCCCAGCTCATGAGGCCGATAAACATGGCATCAGAGACTGAGCGGAAGAATACCATGGCTACCCTGGGTCTCAAGGACCAACATAACTGACTACCCCGAGAGTCAGTATCATTGAGCCTGTCCCGAGAAACAGTGATTTCCACAGGAACATAGATATTCATCACAGCACTCAACATCCAGCAGGTGCCACAGGGAGGGCCCAGGGCTTTGGAGGCCGCCCCTCTGAGCTTGGCTCTCTGTGCCCTTCCAAGGAAGAGGGTGAGGTATTGGTAGGTGCTGAGGACACAGGTGGAGCACAGGGTGGTGCTGCGGGCTACCAGACGGACGTAACACACAACCTTACACCCAAGACTGGACAGGGGTTTCCTTAGAACAAAATTCACCATCATGTGGGGAATCCCAGCAGAGAGAAGAACCAAGGAGTTGGCCACAGCCAGGTTGGGAAGGATCACGTGTATGGGCCTCAGTCCAGTACGCAAGACTGGGAAGACATTATAGAAGAAGAGAATGACATTGGCCAGAGTCCCAACCCCAACCTGGAACAGAAAGATGGCCTCCAGGGCCACTTCACCTGTCGTTCTGAGGTGGTTGTTCTGAAAAGCCATGGAGACAACTTCAGAGCGGCCGGGAGGGAAGCGCTGCCTCTGCGGGTGATGACCTCACATCTCCTCTTAGTCTGCGATTCAGAAAGTCACGTGGGCCTTTCCTGAAAACAAAGGCAATGTCCTCTTCCACGGGAAGGGTTGATCCTGGAGAAATACCTCCGGAGCCAGCTGCACATCTTACCATCCCTACTTTGTAATGATAGCCACTTACGTTTATTTTTTAAATTTACATTTAATCTCCCAAACCATTTACTTTTTAAAAAAATGTTTTATTTTCTTTTAATTTCTTTTATACAATCAATCACTATACATCTTTCAGCTTATGAAGTAAATTTTCCAACATGAATGCATTTCACACCAGTCCGGTTAGGGATACTATACACGTCATCATCGACTGATAATAATCCATTTCTGTGTCCCACAAATGTCTCGCCTTTCTATTTTCTTCCTAATGACTTTACTCACACACTCCTTCTCCCACCCTCTTCCCACACTGTATCCAGTATCTACAACCATTTTCCATGTTTCTATATCCTCTGATCTTTCTGTTTCAGCCATAAAGTGTGGACAGCTGGTGTATCTTAAGTGGAGACATACAATGTCTCTCCTTCATAGCCTGACTTGCTTCACTCAGCAGTAAATCTTCCATATTCGTCCACTTTCTGCCAAAAGCCAAGGTCTTGTTTATTTATGGCTGAGTAGTATCCAAAACCATTTACTTTTAAATTCTGACTCCCCATCAGAATTTCAAGTTCATGAATTTCAGAAAACATGCAACTCTCACTCAAAACCCTCGGTGTCACTTAATGGAGATGTTGAGTAATGAGTAATGAGAGGGACAGTGATGAGCACGCCTGTGGCGCAGTTAGAATTCTTGACCACCTGGCTGGTCACAATAATGTATTAATTTAAGATAGAAATAGAAAAAGGCAAAATAATGTGCAAAGTATAAGACTGTCATTAAAATTATGAATCAGTATTTGAGAACCTTTAGCATTAGTCATTGAAATGATTGGATACAAAATAGCTTTCAAAAAGCAGTAGCCTTCTGAATTCACAAGATGACCCTGACATGGGCTCAGGCATTCTATTTAGTATAGCAAAGATCACTAAATGGGCGAGCAGCTGCAGTTATTGGGAATTACACGGATATCAATTTACGGAGAAGTCAGGTCCTGGACAGGTCTTCCTGAATGGTCTCCAGTCCCTGACTCACATCTGACAACAAGTACTGCAATAATTGCAGCCATTGGGCAGATTATTTGGAATATTTATAAGGTTTTGAGTTTCCACATATGTTATGAGTCTTTAATCAGTTCTGGATTTTTAAAAATATGCATATATTCTCTGTGTATCATTATAACACACCAAATGAATTTTCCCAGCATGAATACACTGCATATCAGTCCAGTCAAAGACATTACCATAAACATTTTAATCAGTTCTGGATTTTACAAAAGAGTATCAGTCAAGTTATCGGAGCTCAAAATCACTCATGTCCTGGGGACCAGCAGTTGGTGGAATGGCTATGTCGCTGGACTCCCATGTAGACGACCACAGTTCTACTCCCGGACCCGGTGACTTAAGCTCACGTCAGGCGCGTGTGCGTGCGTGCCTAAGATCCCAAGAGGAGAATGAAGAAGAAGGGATTGTGGCGTGGCCATTCCCCCCAGGGGTGATTTCTCGCTTTCTGTCTGTGTCTTTCTGGCGAGCGCACGTGCCCTATAACAAAAACCTCTCCAAAACAAAACAAAAGAAAACAACACTCATGTCCTGTAAGGGCCTCACACACGGCTTGGTCTGAGCACTGAAGAATGAGCATCAGGGTGCGTGAGACAGATAGCCAGCAAAGAGCGACGTGTCAAGGGAACGCTCATCTTAACTGTTCCTGCAGGATTTAGAAGCGATTGTCTCTACAGAATAGGAATGTGAATTTGAGATAAAACCACAGAGTTAGGAAACTCCTTACTCTCAGGAACACGGCCCCTGTTGAGGACTCTGCAGTGTAGACCTCCTAGGAAGCAGCACCGGGGATTGCTAATTGGCCCCAGCCTTGGGTCACCGGATCTGGGTCTTCTTCCTGCCTCTCCTCCAACTGGTGCTGAGGTCCCAGAACGTATCCTGGGCTCTCAGGACCAGTCCCCTGTGCTATGGAGTTAATAGCATGGTCTTGGATCCGAAGCCTCGGAGAAGGTTGTTTATATTTATATATTTTATTATTATTCATACGTTAAGTCGCCGTACATCATTTAGATTGTGAAGAGACTTCACCCAGCACGATGCACACCTCCGTCCAGCCCAGCTGAGACCACCACACGCATCCTCGTCAACAGATAGCAAACCTTATCTGTGGCCCACAAGCTCCGGGAGCCGGGGGCTCCTGTGTACTCACTAGCTGAGTGTGGACAGGGGTAACAGCGTCAGCGCTGCGTGCATCCCTCTCGCTCCCCACGTTAGTGTAGACAGACGCTCTGGGCTCATGTGAACGGGGACCTCTCGTTAACTGCGGGGCACAGGGGCTAGCCCTAGGCCTTTCTCACTCACAGCAGCTGAAACTTGCGAAGTACACAGTTTTCCCCTCATTTGTAAACTTTCAACTGTCACAGATTTTAGGAAAGCCTAACAAAATGTAAATTTTCCAACCGCCACTATTTAGAGGCTTAATAAAAGGCATTCAAATAGGAAAAGGAGAGGTGAGACTCGTCCACAGAATGTTTTTCTCTCTCTGTTCCCTTGTTTTAAGAGGAGATGTAAGGGCCCTTTTCCATATTTAGATAAAAGTTTAAGCACGCGTGCGCACACACACACACACACACACACACACACACACACTGTAGACTGGCCCAGAAGAATTTCAGGAGAAACATGGTGCAACCTGAGAAAGGAAAAGCCTCATTCTGTGCTGCGTGTTTCGCTCTGTGTGTGTGTGTGTGTGTGTGTGTGTGCCTTACTCTCTGTGGTGGGACACTTCAGTTATGACGAGTCCACACCCCAGTTTTCACCTGTCCGTGCCCAGGCCTAACGCGATGAGATCTGTGAGGTGAGCAGACTCTCCCGTCCATGGTGAGGCGCTCGGTGGCTCCGGCCAAACACGGCCTGGCACAGGTTCGGGAGGTCCCCGCCCTTCTTTTCCCACTACTGGTCTCTGGGACAAAGGGATTTGCAGTGACCCTTGCCTCGTGGCCCCGTCCTGAGACATTCCTCCGGCCATGCCTATCTTCCACCCACTGTGCCAGAGCACAGGGGGGCCGCAGAGCGAGGCAAGGTGAGCCCCTGCCCTACCTCGCACTACCCAGCCCAGTTCTGAGCTCCCCGGCTGATGGAGGCCCTGTGGTCCTTTCCTCCCCCTGTGATTAAACACGAAGAAACACTCACCGGCGGGCCTTGGCTCCAAAGCTCTGTGCAGGGAAGAATCAGTCCTGTTGAACCTGGATTATCCGAGTCCCTAGTTATAGGGCAGGGTCCCCGGAGAGCACCTCCCCTCAGCGAAGCCATTATCACGTCATCTGGAGCATCTGTGATCGTCCCCGTGGGGAGTCTGGGGCGTCACCAAGAAGAGTGACTGCACCGCAGCTGCAGTCACTGCCAGCGCCCTCACGATTCATGAGAACCCAAATGACATCAGTTTGGCGCCAAGGCTTTCTGTTTCCTGCGGGAGAGTCCGAGCTCAGGGTCAATGCTGTGCTCAGAGGAGACACACGAGGGTCCAGCTGGCCATCAGTTTCTGCGTCTGTGTTTGGAACATCACACTGACACCCAAGTGCGTTCGTCCAGAGCGCGCACATGGTCTGGCCTGGTCTTCCTACGACTTTACACTCCACAGGTCCTGCTCCTCAGGTCTCACTCGTCTGAGAAACATTCCACCTTAGGCCTCTACACGTCGCCTCAGACCTCACGGTCCCCTAACAGCCACGTGGCTGTGCAGGGATCTTACCCTTCTCTTAGTTTGGCTCCTTCATCTTCTTTGGGCCTAGACTGTCCCCTTTTCTTTTGTATTTCAGGAATTTTTCCTGGTCCCATGGGCAGGACTTAGGGGAAAGCAATTCATAGGAATTACAATGGACGCAGTTTTCTTTATAATTGT